TCCCTGTTGCTAGCACAGAGCCAGGCCTGGGCTATATTTAACCGCTGCAGCCATGGACCATGCAACCGGAGCAGGGAGGGGGGGATCATCCCTTGGGAATGGGAGCAGGGCCTGGGGGGCTCCGGGATGAATCACAGCTCGGGGCTATTTATAACAGCACCAGATTGCTCAGCGAGTGCTTGGCCCGGGCGGCGCCTGGGGGGGGGGGGCTCGGCAGGCACCGGCTGCTGGGGCTCAGCTTGGGGGGCCCGAGGGGGCCTCGGCAATTCCCTATGGATGCTGGGGGGTGGGGAGGGATGTGGTGTCACCGTGGTGCTGGAGAGGTTGCAAAGGCGGGGGTGGATGGGGAGAAGCAATGGTGAGTGCATGGATACGGGGTAAGGAGGTCCTGGACCAGCATCTTCCTCTGCAAAGAGGATATGGGGTGGGAGAAAGGGGTGGGGAAAGGCAGAGCTGGGCATGGGAGAGGATCTGGCGTCCCTGCCTGTCCCCATGGCCCCAAACCTGGTTTGGGGATAAGCAGGGGCCTTGGGGACACAAGGATCAGGCTGGGGATACAGGAATAGGTGATGACAGGGACATAGATGTGGTTTGCCCTTTGCTGTCACACACGGGGGGATCCAAAGGCTGTGGCTGCATCCCATGGGAAGAACCCAAGGAGGGAGGATGTGAGTCCCTGCAGGGTCACCATCCCACCCCATCTGCCACCAGATATAGGCTTAGGGCAAGGAAATAACTGTGGAAACGGGGAGGGGGTCCCTACCTCAGACCCCAACTGGCTGCATCCTTCGCTCTTGAGCATCCCTATCCATTTGCTGGGATGCAGTGTGTGCCCATGGATAGGGATGGCTCCTGGGGGATGTGGGTACCAGGAAGGGATGTGATGCTGTGGACACAGAGATCTGCACACTCAGCATCTCGGATGCTCTTAATCTGATTTGGGATTTTCCCAGCTCAGGAGTGAAATGGTCCAGACGGAGCGATGTCCAGCTCCATCCCGCAGGCGATCGCTCATGCTGGGGGCTAGCGCACTAATTCACTTAGGGAATGAATTGGGATCATTTCCCTCGCGTTTCGCATTGGGAAAGGCAGGAGCTGAGCAATGAGGGTTCATGGGGAGACAGACGCCCCCGAGCTCCATTCAGTCATTCACTGGCAGCTCTTATGGCAAAGCTGGGCTGGAAGCTCAGCTGGGAGATGATTCATCTCCTCCAGGATCAGGGGCTGCTGATCCCATAGGGATGGATGCAGCAGGAGCCTGCTGCTGCCAGCACCCTCCCCACCTTTGGAGCCAGCACCCAAGGTGGGATCTGTCTGCGATGCAGATCTGCTCCCATCAGCCCAGCATCCTCAGGGACACCCAGCCCTGGGCCCCATTGCAAGGATGGGGCCCCGCATCCCTCGGGAAGGAGGATGCTCCCAGGCACTGGCTGCTCCGTGCCTCAGTTTCCCCCTGGATAAAGAGGATCCCAGTGGGTGGCAGATCCTGGATTCGAGCTCTTGCTGAGGCTAATTCCATTGCCTGGTGCCCAGCTCCCCAGAGAAGGACCCCCTTTTCCAAGCGGGATGAGCATCCCAGTGGGTACCACAATGCATTGCACCCATCTTCTGCCCGTTCCAGGGAGCTCTGACCGGTGGAAGCGTCATCCCATGGGGTAAAACCATCCCCATCCATCACCCTGGAGCATGAATCCCAAGACCTGGCACCCAGGGAGGTGAATGTGGGATCCCCACCTTCCCCACGGCAGGCGTGAGAGGAGCCTTTCTGGAGGGGAAGCCAGGATGGGATTCCTTGATTCCATAAACATCCAGGGGGTGGTGATGGTGAGGAGGGGGATTTGTCCCAGAATTTGTCCCAGAATTCCACATCCAGAATGAGTCCTTCCATGAAAAAAACATGATTTTGCTGTGGGTGTATTCCCTCCGCTGGGAAAGATGCTTTTCCATCCCAGTGGGATCCCTTGGAGCTGGAGGAGGCTGGGATAAGGTGTGTGGGGGGGTCCCCACTATTCCCTGGCTGGGTCTGGGATGCTGCTGCCGCTCTCCTAAGGGAAAAGGGAAAGAAAACCAGGTGGGAAATAAATAGGTGCCATTTTCCATAGGGAAAACTCCAGAGGTTTGGCTTTGCAGAGGGGGTCTGCGCCATGTGGGGCTGTGCTGTGCCATGGTGGTCCCATGGGACACCGGGGGTCAGTGTGGGGCCATCACTTGGGGGTCAGGCACAGTGAGAGCAGTGTCCCCGTCCCCCCAGGACAGAGCAGAGGTGACAGCAGCGCCAGGGTGGTCCTGTGGATGCTGGAGACAGGGATGGAGACTGGGACAGGGATGTGGGCGATGACAGGGATGGAGACTGGGATGGGGACAGAGAATGGGACAGGGATAGAGAATGGGACAGGGATAGAGAATGGGACAGGACAGGGATGCAGCATCCCAGCTCCTGGAGCTGTCAGTGATTCCCAGCCCCATTCCACATCCATCCCCTGCCCCCCTGGTTCTGGATGGGTCCAGGAGCTGCTGCTTGCACCCAGCCTTGGATCTCACCCCAAATCTCTCTGAGCGCCCATCTCCGGGCATCCCACTTCCAGGGGGTGTTATCCTATGGAGCAGATCCCGGGATGAGGGTGCGAGCTCTGCTCTGACAGCGGGAAGATGCTTCCCCCGCACCAGGGAAGCTGTTACCACTCCCTGCCCTCCTGGGAAGCGCTGAGATTGCTTTGCCTCCAGGGAAGTGGGATGCGGAGCAGGAACAGGCAGCAGCAGTAGCTTGACCCCATGGGATAGGTCCCGGGCTGTGATGAGCACAGTGAGTCCCAGTGACATCCCAGTGACAGGATGGGGTGACATCTCCCCGCCAGGCACTGGAGCATCCCACTGTACCAGGGAGGTGTGCCCAGCACTGATCCCAGCAAGTGTCCATGGAGCTGGGGATGGATCTGGAGAGCCCCCCCCCCCCAATCCCATATCTCCCAATTGAGCCCCCAAACTGGGATGGTGCCTGAATGGGGGTCATGGTGTTGAGCAAAACATGGGGGACCCCAAGTGTGGTCCCCAAAGGGATAGAGAAGAATCTCAGCTCATGGAAGTGCCTGGATTTGGGAAGCTGATTACATCCTTAGTTAGCTCCTTGCAGGGATGCAGATGGAATTCCAGTGCCTCTGGCCCTTGGGGATGCTCCCTGCCTGGTTTCGGGGTGCAGGGGGATGGATGCTGTGCCCGCATCCCACTGGGGAGGAAGGATGTAGTGGGTGCGTGCTGCATCCCGGTAGAGCAGGGAACCCCTCCACATCTGGAGGAGGAACTTGGGGGGATCATGGAATGGTTTGGGATGAAGGGACCTTAAAGCTCCCCCAAGCCCCAACCCCTGCCACGGGCAGGGACCCCTTCCATAGAGCAGCTTGCTCCAAGCCCCTGTGTCCAACCTGGCCTTGAGCACTGCCAGGGATGGGAATCCCAAAGTCCTTCTCTTCAGGCTGCTCCATCCTTCCCCCCAGCCTGTGTTTGTCCTGGGATTGCCTCAACCTTGCCCTTGGCATGGGGATACAGGGATCAGCCTGGCCCGAGGCCATCAGGATTCCCTGTTTATGGCAATAAATGGGATGTGTCCTGGTGGAGGCTCCGGCTGCGCGCTGAATCCCTGCTCAGCAATGAACAGCAAAGGGATGCAGAGCCCCAGACATGGGTCCACAGCATCCACAGGGATGGACAGCATGGGATAGCTGCAGGATGGAGGAGCTGGGATGGAAGCAGGAGGAGCGGGATGAATGGGATGAGTGGGACAAGCGGGATGAGCGAGACGAGCAGGATGAGCGGGATGAGTGTGATAAATGGGGTGGATGAGTGGGATGAGCAGGAGAAATGGGACAAGCAGCACAAGTGGGATGAGCAGGACTAGTGGGATAAGTGGGATGAGTAGGACCAGTGGGACAAGCAGGGTGAGTGGGATGAGTGGGATGAGTGGGATGAGCGGGATGCCCTTCCTGAGCCCCCCCGCCCCATGCATCAAACCCTCCCGCCTGCTCCCGCTGCTCTCCTCATCTCAGGAATGGCTTTTTTTAGCTCCCTCAGCTTTCCCCCCCCCCCCGCCTCCGGGGTGGGCCCCGGATTCCCGGCCCTATTAAAGCATCACCCGCATCCAGCTGCATCTGTCCATCCCCGTGCCGAGGATGCCGCTGGCATTTGATGCTCCCGGATACGCCGGGATCTGCTCCGTGTTCCCGCTGCTGAGAGCAGGGATGCTGAGCCGCCACGGAGGGACAGAGGGACGTGGGGATGGACCCACACCAAGGCCTGGCTGTATTCTACAGTGCATGTGTCTCCAGTGTGAGTAGGTGACTGGAGATGCGGCCCTGTTGGAATAACATCCGGTGTCCGAGGCTTCGGATGGAAGATCCCGCCTGGATCCGGCCTCATATCCAAGGATGCTCCCGGGATGGTCCCAGCCAGGGTGCCGGGGGTGCAGGGATGGGGACGGGGTCCGGAGGGTGGCACTGGGGCTCGGATGGAGCCTGGAGCCGCCGGAAAACAGGGATTGAAGGAAGAGCAAATCCTATGGACCAGAGCTTGGAGCTTCCACCTATTCCTGTAGCAGCATTGTCCTTGTCCTGGTGTTCCAGACAAGGGGTGGAGGCAGGAATAGAGCCCGCAGTGACATGGCCATTGACATGCCTCCTGTGTCCATCAGTGTGGCTTTAGGGCCACCGTCCCACAGAGCCAGCTCCTGGGGTCACCTCCTGCCACCCCCTGTCTCCATCCCAATGCCCCGTCCATGTCCTCCTCCACTTTTGGGAACCCCGAATCTCCTTCCCGTGTTGGACATTGCCTCAAACCAGACCTTTTCACCCCAGAATGGAGCTGGTTGAGCTGGACACCCTCTGGGTGAAGGAGGTTCTGTGCCATGGGGGGTTCCTGGGGACCGATGGGAGGAGCCGGTTCCTGGTGCCCATCCCCGTGGCCTCAGGCCCCATTAACCCCCCTGTCTCCGTGCTCTGCTCTCTCCCCAG